CAGCTGTGGAAGCCACCCCACCCCCTCCCCGCGCCCTGCCACCCCGGCTGGGCAGCCCCTGTCCCAGGCCCAGCATTTTCTACCAGGGTCTGACATGGTATAAAATATACTCAGTAGCAAATTCTGTAAGAAGAAGCTCTGTTGGTATTGAGGAAGGTTTTAATACTAGTGCATATATACCAATTATATCACATTTGGGAAAACAACTTAGCAAACAGTTCAGGTACCTCTGTGTAAGTACTTATGCTATTGTTAACAGGGTAGTGCAGCCACATAGTTAACTGATAATAACCCAGAATGTGCTATCATAAATCAGGCTAATAAGACTGGGAGAAAAATTAAATCATAATTTTCTGCATAACAGTGCAGAATACAGCTGCTTAGAAACTTTAGAATGCAACAAAACCTGTTTGTTTTTTGAAGTCTTTGATTTATTAGTATCAAAACTTTCACAGGGATGTTCTAGAATTGATGAAAATTCTCTGCCCATGCCCCTGCCTGTACCCCTCCTTCCCTCACCAAAGGTTTTTTTTCTGCTCCAGGATGGAGAGAGAACTTAAAATATACCAATTAAGTTTTTATCAGAAAAAATGGTAAAAACTTAAGATATACCAATTAATTGAATAGCTGGATATTTGGGGTACTTGTCTGGGGAAACAGGATGTCCGGGTTCAAGTCCTGCCTAATATGGACAAAACAATTGGAATGCAAAAGGAGCCAATTTCATACTCTAACAATATCAGGCTCTTGGTTGTGCTGGTGCTTATGTTTCTTTGCATGAAACACTTTGAAAAAGTCTTTGTCCTGATGTTGAACAGGAGGACTTTTGAAATATGAAATGTTTATCGCATGGGAAAACCGACTAAGGTCTCTTACTTTCCTTACTGGAACATTTTAGATCATTAGCTTCTATGCTACCTGTTGCAAAGTTACTTTGCATTCATAATGATTTTTTCTTCTCTTAATGCTGCTTTGGAAGTGTTTCTATAGAATATAATACTTTCCTTTCTTAAGGACTGTGTAATGACTGAATTTATTACTACTTCCAAGTCTGACAATTGCTACAGCTGTCAGTGTGACTTATCAGGAGTAGCAAGACAGGAATGACCTTTTTATTTTTTAAGTTTGAAGTAGTGCTTGCCCTATATCTTCTTTTACAAGAACCAGGGACACTATACACAAAGCTGGCAAGTTTTTATTTTGTTTTGTTTTTTAATCAATTGTTCTCCCCTGGTCAGCTACCTCTTTTTTCTATAACTTTGTTTTTTTTTACAAAACCCATCTGTGTTCTATGAATGAAAGTAGGAAACAAAATATGAATCTCTATTTACCTAAAGTTTTTGAGACCTTAGGGTCTTGTGTGTGTTTGGTGTTTTTTGGTAGGAAGAAAGTGTATGCTATGCTGTGTTTTGGTCTGAGATGTATCTAACGGTCTGAATTTTAAATATGGTGTATTAAAAATTCAGCAGTGTTTTCGGTTGTGGAATGAGTTGCTCTTTTATACAGGTTGTAGTCTACGGTTAACTTTTATGCTCCGTTTTGCTTTGAGTGTTCACTGTTCAGTGGTTTGGCTGTAAGACGGAAAGAACAAACGTGAAGACTGAAATTCTCTATTCACAAAGAGAATCGTCAATTTGCACAGCAAGAAGAGGACCCCTGTGCTCTGTCTGTTTGGATTTACACCAGCAAACAGGAAATTACTAATTTCAGACTTCATTATCATGGATCCTATACTGTTCAAATGCATTAAATTCACTGGTTAAAAAAAAATGAGCCCATCACCTCTTTCAGATCCAAAGTGAATCATTTGAGCTGTGTTCATTTAAAAAAGTAAAGTACAGAAGATAAAATACACTTTCTGGGTCCTTCATTATTTTGTCTTGTCTTATTTTTGAGTAAGGCTCTTAAAGCTGCTAGAGGCTCTTAAGAGCCGCTAGGCTCTTAAAACTGCACATTTTGCATTTGGAATACTTTCTTCCTGTTTTTTCTGGAAAAACGCATTTTAAATATATTGGGTATTTTTGACAAGATAAGCAGATGTGAAATAGCTTTTCTCTCTTTTCCTCTTAGAGGTGCATAAATTCCACCAAGGAGGCAGAAGAAACATCTGTGCTTCTTAAGGATCCTTAAATATCTTGGTTTCCCCCTCCCCACTTCCACCCCCACTCCTGTCTTATCTCTACAATCCTCCAGACTCTGAACTGTAGGTAGTGTTCCAGTTAAGGAAGTCTGTATAAGGCTCTTCAGAGCCCATCTCTTGGCTGCTGCTGTTTAAATTATTTGAGAGTATTCCCTCCTTCCAAGTGTTAAATTTGATGCTAAGTGTCTGTATGTGGAGATGTGGAAATCAATATATATCTATAGAGAGATATATAATAACTGTTCCAGGGGTATAAGCACGGGGGGGGACCCTGAAGCAAGCGGTGGAGGCTGCAGAAGGCAAGGCGGTTCCAGGCTCCGTCTGCATGGGATGGTAGGAGGGGAATCAACTGGGAGAGTAGCAGAAGGAACTCTCTCACCAGAGGCAAACAGGGGAGCAGTGTCGGGGGACGTGGCCAGGCACAGGCTACAAGGCAGGGAGAGAAGAAGGACCGTTCCCCTTGATCTTCCTCTTTCCCACTAGTCCTCCCTTTTGTTGTGTCTTATTATTTTCTTTTGTTTTCTTCTTAAGTACAGCACAGAGTTGCCTTGTGTTTGTGTTTTCCTTTTTATTCATTGCATACCGTGGGTGAGAGCTTTGAGCGGTGAGGTCTGGGTGGCATAACAGGCCACAAGGGCCACTCACGGGAAGTAATTAGTAACCAGCACCGAACCTGAGAGAATAATCCACGGATCGGAGAGTATGTCACTAAGGTGGAAATACAACCTGGTACTCGAGAGCGTGGAGACCATCAAGATCGGAGGGCCACAGTGACATCAGGCGACCCATTGTAGGCTGGCATATGGAAGGGGTGTAGGGGAGGTGGAGCCCTGTGAATATCCGTTGGGAGGAATTTCCGACCTCAAGGGACCTCCAATGGGAGACCCCACCACTGAAGTTGCATCCAAAGTCGTGTCAGGAGAGTTCTGGGGTACTCCCTGGGGTGATTGAGGCCCCTACCAGAGGTTACATGAAGCCTCCCAGCATCTATCACCAGGCACCCACACCAAGGCAGCATGCAAACGGATTTTCTAATTGAGACAGGCCCAATAACACTGCTACTTTTGGGCCATACTGTACCGTTTGTTGAAGCTTGAGGAGGAGTAAATGCTTTTCCAGTATAACCAAGTTGGTGCTCAGGCCCTCTTATACTATGTGTTGCACAGATGAGCAGTGGGGGTGGGCATTGCTTTTAGGAATTTACACTGAGGAATTTACAATAAAATGTACTGTTTTTTTTTTCTAGGTTGCCAGTTTGGCTTAAAACAGTGTTGAAAATTGCTTAAATTGTCACATAGATCTTGTTTAGCTTCTTGAACTGACAGGTGTTTTCTTCCTGTTTTATTTCAGGGTCCATGCAGAAGTGCCATCATCTGTAAAACACAATTTAAGGACAGACCCTAAAGAGAAAGAGAAGGACCAGGAGGAAGAGGAAAGCAGTGAGGCTGATGGAAGGCAGGCAGTTGAATCAAGTGGTGCAGAGGTTCAGCCAGAAGGGAAGAAGAAGAAACGTTCTGGATTTAGGGACCGCAAGGTAGAACTAGTTCTCTGTCAAACTGCAGGAGTTGTGCAGTAGTGGAAAAAAAGGAGTGAGGGATTAACTTGACTTCGGCTGTTGTATATGTTATAATAGACTTCTAGTATTTACTTATTGGCTTAAATTTTCAAGAGAAGGTTTTGATTGGGAATGCCTCACTTTTTGGGAAACCAGCTTCAGATGTCTCTCTCTTTTATGGCAGGGGTAGGGGGGGAAGCACTGACCACTCTAAAAACTCTGAAAATGAAGCCCCTGAAAGACATCTCAGGTTGGATTTCTAAAATATAAGGCTACTTTTCTGTTTATTAAAAGAATTGAAAAAAGGTACAACGGAGATGCAACTTGAATTTATAAATTGCATCTTAAAATGTTTTACGAATTTGTTTCCTGCAGAGGATTCAGTGAATGGATAGTTGATTTTTATTCAGTGTTATTATCCTGCAACTGTGACTGCAAACATGTAATGTCTTTTCCCTTCGGCATTTAGAACCACGGTGTTTGTATCAAGTGTGAACCTATGTTCGTTTTCTGTTCTTCACAATTCCTAAGCCTGAAAGAGAAATCAGGATTTGAACAGAGAAGTGCACTTCTAATATGCATCCATGATTGGACATTGTTGAGCTGTGGACTCCTTAGGTTGATCTGACACACTTTTGGCTTTAGCTATTATCAATATTATTGCAAGAAATACAATATATGTAGTTGTGGGGGGCGGGGGAGCACGTGCTTCTCTCTGAAGAGAATTCCAAATGAGCCTGTGGCTCTCTAAACGAGCAGCTAAATTCAGTGTTCATTCCATAGGTGTCCTGCTTCACTTTGGATCACCATCAGATCTGAATTAATGCAAGTTAGTGTCTGCTAAATCAAAATATAATTACATTGCTTTGCAGCTTAAAGGCCTGCTCTCTCTGTATTAACTCTTCAGATTCATTCATTCATTCATTCATTACATGTTTTTAGCATAATGATAAAAGCTCCTGTGTGTGCTTACATATCATCATCATCATCATCCGAACACCTTGCTGGGGTCGTTTTGACCTCAGTAGTTTTTCCTGCCATGGCAGGGGGTTGGACTTGATGATCTGCTCAGGTCCCTTCCAACCCTACCAACTATGAAATATGGTTTGATGAAAAGTCCCATAAACAGTGTTGGCAGAGGACTGTATTTTTTTTTTATCTGTCTGAATATTTGTTTTATTGGGCTTTGCCTGAGAATTTAGTGTCTTTTATGGTGCCAAACAGAAAAACAAATGAGTGCCTCTTCAGTTTCTCTTCTATGTTCTGACCTTGTTTTTTTTTTTTGTTTGGTTTGGTTTGTTTTTTTTTAATCCATACCCTGAGGGACTGCATCTCAGTAGCTAACTTGTGGGTAATCAGTATCTAGTGGCTTAGCAGCTTTTAAGTCATTTGCTTAGAGATGCTGAGGGTGTGGTGTTTG